GATTTCACGCAGGATGGCATGGACTCCGTCGCTGGCGATGGAGACTCGGCGCAACCTTCGGGGCTCCATGGCGATGTTGAGGACGGAGTGAGTGGACCTTCAGGTAGCGAGGACGCGGACGTTGTCGCGGAGGCACCAGGAGCCGCGATGCCGGCGCGTAGTCTTCCATTCTCGCCGATCCCGGAGGCAAGTGAAGACGAGGATCAGGTAGCGGAGGAAAACATCGAGACGATGCTCGTCGCGAAGTCCATGAGCTTTGAGAGGAAGCCTGCCAACGTCGTCGGCGAACACTCTGACGCGCAGGTCCCGCCGCAGCCGACATCGCCTCCGCGGAGGGTCACTCGCTCGCGTAGTCGTCCGTTAGGTCCTGGCCCCTTCCGAGGAGAACGGTTCCTAGGCGTGGAGCTACTGGGTCTCGTCGGGGCAGGGTCGGAAAGTGAAGCTGTTGAAAGAGTTTAGAATGTTAGATAGGTTTCCGGCTCGCTCGTGAGTAGTACGCATACCCAGCATACCCAGTTCCATGTGATCCGGTGTTGTATATACTGTTGTCTAATACTTCTTTTATATACCCTTGATACCATTCTCGAAACGACCCGGCGTCGCGCTAGTGATTGCTGCTCTTATGAGGTAGATTGATGATCTCCGTTGCACACCAAAACATCCGGTAAGCGTCTTTTATGAATCGGCGCATACACGGTGAGCTCGTTTGAAACGATGACGTTGTGACGACGGCCAGTACATAACGCAATTGGTGGTCTCGGATAGTGATTTCCCCTGAACACCACAGATGTGCAATTCTGAGGCGATGGTCAGATCTCAGACCCGGTCGTGATACAAAATCGATGCGCACAGCCCATGCTCTAGTTCGTGCCAGTGTGATGAGGCATGCCAATCGTCCCTATCATGAAGTGGGTACTACAACACTGCTTGAAGTTCTAGTTTTCTGCATAACTCTTATGGCATTTGCGCTGCACATATATAGAGTGTAAAACCGCTCACCTCATTTACAGTCTTCGTTACTATGCTGTGTCTGTCCAATCTGTCGCTCCAAGCTTGAGGTTTAATGAGGAGGAGGCGACTCGGGAGCGAGCCTGCCTGCCAGTGCGCGTCGCCATTGCGTCACGTGTTCGCGTTGAGAACGCCAGCGAGTTTGGTTCAAGTTGAAGTTTAGTGACCGGCGTTGGTCCGTTACTTCGGTCAGTCCTCAGAACAAGTACCTCGTCCGTCCTGGCCCAGTGCTGGTACGTCACGTCCAATGTACCAAAGTCATCTACTCACCTCAACGGAATCAGCGGGACACTCGGTCGAAGAATTGAAACTCATTCCACGCTTCCCGTTGAAACCTACATCTCACGATGCACCGAGCTCTGACTATCCAAGACTTCATTCAATTGGTGGTGAATGAAGTCGCCAGGCCGTGTCCACTGGAAGAACGGACGCTCCTGGCTCTGGCGCTCACATGCCGCGCATTCCAGGAGGCCGCCTTGGACATGCTGTGGGCTCACCAGGATGGCTTGGGCCGTCTCGTCCAGTGCTTACCGGAGGATCTATGGACATATTCAGATGACCCATTGGAGGATATAGTGAGTAAGCTGCTGCTCCGCTGTTAATTGAAAGCTGAGTCCGTGATGCATCCAGACGCTCAGCGAACCTACGAGGGCCACCACACAACAAGACTGGCAGCGCTTCGACGTCTACGCTCGGCGGGTCCGCACACTAGATATTGATGATTCCCCTTATTTCAAGTCCCGTACAGAGTGCCGCGTCTCAGGGCCCCTCTTTCGTTGGCTTCTCTCGTCAAGGACTTCTCATCAATTGCTCCCTAGTCTATCCTTCCTTGGCCTGGGGTGGGGGAAGGAGATATCTTCCAAGTATTACGACTCTGCACACATGCTATTTGGCCCGCGGCTCTCTGAGCTGCACATCAGCACCCCTCGGCGGCTCGCCGACACCAATGTGCTTGACGTGATATTGCTGCACCTCCCTCTGCGTTCACCAGACGTCAAGTTGTTGAGAGTCAACGAGTCCCAGTACAGGGATTCCGACTGTCAGCCCATCTCTTCTGGTATTCTTCCAGCGTTGAGAGGGCTGGAGAAATTCGCGGGGAGCATATCCCTGACATTTGACACCCTCGCCGGGTTGTCAACCTTGCCAAGCCTCACAGAAGCAACCTTACTTTTCGACAATCAACGAGCCACTGGCCAATTGGGGACAGAAGAGACCGCTCAAATCCTTACCTTCCGCGCTCTGGAGAGATTGAGTATGAGGATGACGACAATGGCTGATGCCGAAGCACTCCTATCCGTCTGCTGCTTTCCTCGACTGCAAGAGATATCCCTGACAACCACTTTCGAATCCAACTCGGACGCTCTCGATGGCGTGCTCCGGCTGATCCACGACCGTTGCGAACATGCTATATTAGAGTCGATCCAAATCCGAAGCGGTGAGAATGAACACCTCGCGGGTGGGGTACACGACATCACCTCGGCGTCCTTCCGACGTCTCTGTGACTTCCGTAATCTTCGTAGATTTGGTCTCAACACGGAGATGCGTATCATCCTCGATGACGATGCCGTCCAGGAGATGGCCATGTCGTGGCCTCGTCTGGAGTACCTGCACTTTAGCAGCTTGGAGTCACCTCCGACTTCGGCGACGCTGGAAGGCCTGGCGCATCTCTCCCGGTACTGTCCTTCGCTGTCGTCACTCTGTATCAACGTGCAGACGAGGGGTACCGTCGTCTCCGCCGATGTGATCCCCGGCGGCGGCTTCTGCAACCGGGCCCTCGAGCAGATCGAGTTCCGCATGTCGTTTCCGTTTGGGAATGAAGCGAAAATAGCGGCGTTCCTGAATGCGATCTTCCCCAACATCCGGAGGCTTGATTGGGCGTGGAGAAGGGTATGGGATATAATTGAGGTCCTACGCATGACATCTGAATGGGAAAAGCACACCAGTAAGTAACGACATGCCTCGACTCGTGTGGACCTGCTTTCGATAGGTACACCTCTGCAGGACCAGACGCAACGTAACGTCTGCTATCAACATGCCAATATTATATCGGCGGAGCATCTACGCAGCCCTTCAATTGAGCATCGTAACAACGTACACTCAATCTCCAACTCCTTTCCTCCGCCACGCTGCAATGTCCGGGCTGTCTGTGCATGTGAACACTGATGCGGCAAACTTGCGGCAAACACTGCTCTAGCACAACGTGACAGTCGATCGGGACTCAGGCTACTTGAGATATAATTACTGGTACATTCAATCGCAATCGCTATTGGTTAGTGCTTCTGTACTGCAGGCTGTGCTCATTGGTCGAACCTACGGTAAAAGACGTACGCATCAACGAACTCCTCACCCTCGCTTCCGTCTGCCTTCTTCAGTCGTCCCGCACGCGGAATGAGCCCCGCCTTCGTGAAGCCGAGGGCCTCCCAGAGCCTACACGGACGCGTGTCAGTATGCCCTTGCTAGAGATCACGCATGGACAGGCTCACCGGACACTCGCAGCGTTGTTGACGTAGACGAGGTTGAACACGCTCGCCTCGAAGCCAAGCCTTGGTGCGTGGTGCAGATAGGAACGCGCGAGTACGGCACCTATGCCCCGCCCACGTTGTGCGGGGGGACAAGGAACCCAGCATTGCAGATCTACATGCACATTGACGTCAGAAAAGTGAATGTTCGTGAAACTGGGACGTACATGAGAGGACCGGCCAGGATAGTTCGGTTTCACCTGCAAAACGATGTCGATCAGTCACCGGGATACTGTAAAGCCTTTCCGACGTCCCGGATGGTAGGGTACGAAGGGCTTAATTATGGAGTCTAGGCAGAGACTCACGTAGTAACATCCAGCAATACACTCCTCCATGCTGCGTCCCTTGACCGCGTCTTCGATACCGAGCTCAACCTCTCTGCCGTCGACGATCTCTTCACCCGAGCTTCCCTCTCCTATCACAGCCACCAGCACGTCCGCCGCGAAGTAGTATGCCTCAAACGTCTCGAGCGCGTACTCCTCGCCTGCGCGGATTTCCTGTGGATAGGTCAACCCGCGCTCAAGCTCATCCGCGAACACCTTGTGCAGGTATTCAACCAGACCCGGCATGGCCCGCGCAGTCGCCAGGGTGAGGTGGTGGATCGTCAAGTGTGCATCCGGCGCAGGAGTGTACTTGGAGGTTGGCTGGAGTCGCCAGCGTGTGGTTGGAAGAGGTCCTGCAGTCCGATTGGGAGTGAGGATCGCGCCGTATGCCGACATGGCTCCAGTACTCGTATCCGACTAGGAAGTATGCGTCGGCGTGTGATTTCCAACAAGTTCAAGCCGTCGAGTAGACTGTCGGTCGAGTCATGTCTCGCCCGTTACCCTTAAACAGTATTGGCGGTCCATGTTGACGGGGACGGTCCGGTGCTGGCAGCGGAGGCATTATTCATAGACTATGAGTCTGCAGGGTCTCAAGCTAATCGTAATGCCACACCGATGTCACTCGAGTGAGGAAGCGCGACGGACCCGGTGAGGGTTGGGTGAAGGGCCTGAAGGCATGAAGCTGAAGGCACCAGATAACATCTACATTTGGCACTTACAGAAAGACCCATTAGTAACATAAGTGAGTCGCACTAAGTAATAAACATACCATATTCGAAGCGGCGCTTGCTGGGCGCTTGTGTCTCGCAACCCTACCTTGGCGTGGTCGGGGACGACTGCGGCAGTGTACGCCTCCATGGCTCGGAAAATCAAGCTTTCAGCACGTCCAGCACGATGAGTGCATCGACTTTACCGAACACCGCTGCGCTGGCAGGTCGTCTGGTTGCTCGTGCACGACACCGACAATCCTTGGGCCTCCGAACATCTCAACATATGCGGATCCACGCGCGGTCGTACTCCCAACCACCCGTTCAGCAAGACCTGGCAGGCGAGGTGGACCGGAAGGGAGAATCTGACGCGTCACAACGCCCTCATTCGCGCGATTCTGAGCCTCGCGCTAGGCCGGGAGGTTTCCCGACTTCGGGTTCGTCAGTTGTCGACGCGGCAGCGACAGCTTTGATTGGTCTTGGAGCTGGTAAGTGTGCGCAATTGCTACATATCCCCTCGAGCTCTGCCTATTTATGAGAAAGGACTGGTATGATCCCTGACAAGAGAGTTAGGCGAGACAGGAGCAACCAGTATTGTCGTACCTGTCGCGAGCCTGGCCTTCCGTCGAGGTCAATGCAGGCAGTGATGTCGACGAGCCAGTCAACGTGCTTCTGAGCACGTCAATAACGGTGTCGTTGCGTGTGTTGACCTCACCGTGTACGTTGAGTGAGGAGCTCGGCGCACTCGACGATGACGCAAACGTCTTGATGGCGTAGAAGGATGCACCAGTCGTGCTCGATTGCACGCCGATCGCGTCGTTTGATGGGGCGTTGACCGAGTTGAGCTTGCACCTTGATGAAGGAGACATCGCCGACGTGCTTCTGGGTACGCCGACGGCAACCTGGTCGCGGTTGCAAGTGTTGGTCTTCGCGGTGGAGTTGAGTCGAGGACCTTGCCAAAGGTTATGTCTCGTGGTTCAACACGTCCAACCTTTCTTGCTGTGAGGATCCTCTGAGGTGCTCGTCGGTGGCGAACGTGTGAGGATATCAGCCATGTCAGGGGCTGGATGTTCGCTTGGGTGAGCTCATGTGTACTCCATCGCGCTCTGACTCGGTGAACATCAGCCTTTGCACTCTCCAAAGCAGATGATTCGTTCATGTATGCCGACAAGGATAGAGGCAGTCGTCTCATCAGGACGCGATATTGGCATCTCCAGGAATCACAACGTATTAAGATGATCTTCTGACAGCAGTGTCTAGTGTTCTTCGGTGGTGTCGCCTACGTCGCCTGGTACAAGAAGAACGTCCTCGACAAGGTGAGGGCCTCATGCGCTCGCATTCAAAGAGACCACTTACTCAGACACCCCGTAGATCGAACTTGCCTTTGCGAGAGGCTACGACCCGGCTCTCGAGCTCGCAAGCAACCCACGCAAGCAGCACGACGCTGAAAACGATTACGTTCATTGGATGAAACATGTAAGACGCCGAGAGCAGTCCTCACTTGACCGCATCATCAAGGGCGCCGAGGCTGGACAGTACTACCTGTTGCTCGGACCTAAGGTACGCGCTGATGTCGTGCGCATTTCACGAGAGGGTCAGAGCGCTGAGCGTGGGTCGCGCAGGGCACTGGCAAGGGCACGATGATGCTGGACGCGATGCAGGCGATCGAAGCCGAGGGTGTCGCTATGTGTGATGCGCACCCAGACCTGGAAGTCTTCCGTCTGCGTCTCGGCAAGGCGATGAATTATGAGTTCAACGAGGACACGCAGACCAGTCTCTTCCAAAGGCGTGATCCGCGGGAAGGTCTGTCGACTCGATCCTCGCGCGCTGGTTCATATTGATCGCACGAACTCGCAGCGGGGCCGTCCTTGGATATTGAACGAGGTCAGTCGAGGGTGTGTCTGCCGCGCGGTGCCGGTAGTCATATACTACGCGCACAGCGTTGAACAAGCTAGAGAAGGTCGCGCTGCGATACGCACGAAGAACAGGCAGGCCTCTCGTTTTGATCTTCAATAACATTCATTTCTTCAAGAACGACGATGATGGGAGGCAGATGCTTCTGCAGATGCAGCAGCGCGCAGAAAGCTGGGCTGCTGCTGGTGGGTGTTCCGCTCTCTTCTCACATCATTCCCGCTCACTCGTTTCGCCCACCAGGAATCCTGACGATGGTGTTCAGCAGGTATTCATTATGAAGCTTCATAGTTCTCCTCTGCTCACATGTATCAGCGACGACTTCTGGCCCTTTCTTGTCATGCGTAAGTCACTTACTTAGTTGTCGTTGCGTGTATCCCTAACACGTCTTTCAGGAAAGACCGCCAGCAGAATGCAGGTGATCCCCATTCCACCACCCGCGTCAAATGCACGTTCTGACCGCAGCACCCCCTGTAGGTCGTGACGGTGTCCGACCTGAGCTTCAAGGACGCGCTGCGCGCCTCGGCACAGATGCGCCTGAACGCGAAACTGCCGACCGACTCAGAGGACCTCCACGACGCCGTGTCCATAGTGGGCGGACGGCTGTCGTACCTCGCGCAGCTCTCGAAGACCGCGAACATGCGCGAGCACGCGCAGCAGATGCTGGTTGTCGAGAAGGCGTGGCTGCTGAGTCTCATCGGCCTCATACCCGACTGTGACGACGATGTCATGGACGAGCAGAAGTGGAGCTCGTGCTCGTGGCTTCTCCTGCGCGAGTTCGTCAAGCAGCGGCGCGCGGACGAGCGCGAGCGTGCGGAGGCGCTTGCGGCCGGTGAGCTGTCGTCCGAGGGGCTGGACGAGCTGCCCCTCCCGAAGATTCCATACGTGAGTATCGCTCGTTTGGGCCTAGCTGTGCTGTCTGCTGACCTTGGCGTTCAGTATAAATGTCGGCAGATAATGACCAGGGCCGACTATCTTGAAGGTGCGCCGTAGATGCGTGTCGTTCGCGGACTGTCAACTTAGCGTCCGCCAGACCTCGATCGCGCCAATGTCATAGCCATTAATGTGAGTCTTCGCGGTTTCATGAGGGTCGGACGCTGATACGCACTCCCGCCGGATCCCAGACGAACCATGACGTTACGCCGGACTCCGTCCTGCTGCTGCAGGCGGCGCAGAAGGTCGTGGAGGAGGAAGGGTTTGACGACCTACTGGACGGCGTGCGGAACCGAGTGGACGAGATCGAGAGTCTCCATCGCACGAGGGAGTTGACGGTGCGTTTCACTGCTGGCCAATACAACGGCCGCACGCATCCTCCCTACCGGTGCGCAAGACGCTAATGAACATCCTTCCAGTTCAAAGACATAAGCGCGGGTGATCGCATTCGACTCTCGGTGGACAAAGGGGGCGCGGTTTCGGTCACTGGCTGATAGGCCTGCGTAGAACCACGATCCCGCGAGTATGTTCGGCCACACTACCCAACACCGCGTTCAGCGCAAGCATCGCAATGCGTTGAGGACGTGTTTCGGCCTAGTGCGTTCCATTCCCTATCTCGCTGAGCGGCTCGTCGCAACTTGGCTGTGAGTCGGACGCAGTACATGCATATCAGAGGTCCCAGCCATGCTTTCCCCGCATGAAGGGGACGGAGAGGTCTATCATCCCTGTCCCCGCGAACCAGTGCGCGTCCGCTGATTGGTCCGTCGGCCGCTGATAGACGCAAGAAGGTCATTTAACGGCTCGACGCTGGGAGCGCGGATGCCGCTAGAACTCTCATGCTCTCGTGCGCCTCCTCCCGGCGAACTTTGCACTCGCGCTGGGCCGTCTCACGGTTGGCTGCGAGTGCAGTGACTGCTCCACGATTTGCACGCGCACTAACGTCCACTGGCGACTCTATAGTTTGTGTAGGGTGGATCTTCGCTTCCTGCATTGTGGGATGAGGGCCTGACCTCCTTGAGCACCGCGCTGTACGTCCAGACGCATCCCGTATCGTGCGTGAAACGCTTGACCCGGGGGATCCCAGATACCTGTCCTCCGATGCATCGCGCACCTTGGGAGAACTGGCACAGCGGCAGGACGGCGCTCGACGATTGGGCGGGGTTGGGTCTGTCCCCCTTACGCTGGACAGATTGAACATTCACGTAGACGTCTGAGAAGATGTGCATGGGGATGTGAAAGACGAAACGCTGCGCCCGCGTCTAGCGATGGCGGAGGGTCGGAGCTCTTTGAAAGCATCCGCTGCCGAGGGTCAGCAGATTCCCTCCGCGGCTCTAGACTTGCTATCTCGTGGCGAGTAGCGCGTGCTGGCGAGTGACTTTGACGTCGTTTTATATGGTTCGTGTGCAGCTCAATCTCTAGTGAGCATGGCGATTTGACTAGTATACTCATTGTGCGTTCCATCGTCCAGCCGGGTTGGTCTGAGCGAACAATGTAGAAGTGTGTCTACTCTCTAGGCCTCAGTATGAGAATGAAGAATGGAGTGCGAGCACGTCTACTAGTTCGATAGGACAGACTTCTGCGCTTCGTAGGCATGTTGATATCGTGGCCGCATCGACGAGGTTCCGTTTGCTTCTTGTACTAGCAGTTTATCCGAGTGGTTGATGAACCATCCGGTTTCATGGACGGCAGCACGCCGGCCATCTGAGTCTTTCCTCCTGGGTGCAAGTACAGCACTAGTAGCTCCAGTTGAACAATAGGCAACAATCGCGAAGTGAGATTCGTCGAAGTCGCAACATGAACATTGAAGAACTGCCCGATGCAAGTGCCAGGAAACAAGTACCGAGACGACCATAGCAGCCACAGGAATGATGGACGGGCGCGTCGCTGATGGCAGACGCCCCAGCCAAGGCAGTCCACCGCGCTACCAGACCAGAGCAAGTGAATGGCGTCATGAGGATGATCGTGGATGGCAACTTGATGGTGGCGTTGGCGAGCCTCGGACTCGGGCAGGTCGACCAGTATGGCTAATCGATGTCAGGAACGCAGATATGGTGGCTAGTCGGGATCGACTCGCCACCGACTTCGAATTCACTGCGTAGCTTGCGGGGCAGCCAGCCCGAAGGAAGACACATATAGATGAAGAGCCCATCCGTACGGGAGCTCGTGGTCGCCTTCACTGGCTCTACAGTCGGCATACATACATGCATGCATCGGGGTCACGCAGCTAGCCCCGTCTTCGCAGATCCTAACAACACAGTAGCAGGGCACCCTTCACTCCGCAGATCATGATCTTGTTATGGACCTCGGCACAAGCGAAGTCCGAGAAGGAGGGGCCCTATCCGCAGCACGCCAAAGGCCGCCTTCCCTCTACGTTGTGGCCATCTGTGAAGTTCAGTAGCACGTACCATAAGGGATCCCAGCAGTCCGAAGACATGCTCGCCCGCCTCCAATGCACGTTCCTGTATCGCAGATCCTGTCTTCTCCCGCGACATGGTCCGATAGGTTGAGTGCTTGGAGCGGGGAGGGCCTAGTAGCATGATCCGGCACCGAGAGAACAAACGGGGTCCATAGCTTGCTCCTAGGGCGAAACTCGCGCGGGAGCCGTCGAGCTCTCCATTCTCAAGTCTGCGTGGGTACGCCGCAGACGTCTAAGGCCATGGCTTGCGCGTGATACAGATGCACTAGGCATACCGATGAGGAAGGGCGATCTACGGCGATAAGTCAGAGCATCGGGAAGATAGGGTAAATATGGAATAGGGCGCACCGTTGGGACACTGGCAGACAAACCTGGACCCGTCTCGCAAGTGACGTCAAGGTCCCGCTGAGCTTTGGACATCGCCAGCCTTGGCTTTGCATTGTACTTTCAAGATGCCAAGCGCGAGTCCGCGCTCGGCAAACGGCTGCGCCATGTGCGCAACGCGAGGATACTCAACTCCCGTGTCAAACAACGTACAGAATGCGGGGCTGACTGATCACCGTGTGAGGGCAGCAGAGCTTGATAGCGGCTTAGTGTGAGCAAACTAACTGTGTGCGAAGAGGCAAACGCACCTATTCCCTGACAGGCACTGCTGCGTCGTTTGAGTGGACCG